AACCCTGAGAGCAGAAAAGGGACTTAGAGACCTATTTCAGAGACATAGAAACTGAGGCCCGGAGGCTCCAATCCCACAGGCCAGGCCTTGTAGACCAGTGTGGCCTTGTGCCTTGTAGACACACAGATCTGGTTGTGTTGCTAGAAGGGCCTGGGTCCCCTGTCTAAGGGGAGATATGGCTGTGGGTTTCTGGGGTGTCCTTACCATTCTCTGCTGTTGCAGCCCAGGAGATGGCCAGGGGGAGGAGGAGGTTGAGGAAGGCCAGGTACCAAGAATGAGGAGGGGCTGCCATCACTTCCACGGGGTGGAGCTGGGAAAGGGGGTCCTGGAGCGGGGCGAGGGAGAGAAGACCCATGAACCCTCACCACAAACTTCAACCTGACCTCTCAGGGTACTCATCCTTGCTGCATGGGGCTGGCCTTGGCCCTCCCCTCTCAGGTCTCTCTGCCCCATGTGGACACATGGCCTGCCTCGCACAAGGGCATGACCTACCCCACATGGACGCACGGTCTGCCCTGCATGACACGGCCTTCCCCACATAGACACATGGCCTGCTTCACATGGACACATAGTCTGCCCTGAACGGGAGCATGGCCTGCCCCGCTTGGACGCATGGCCTGCTCCCTCCCTTCATTCACGTTCCGCTCAGACATCATCTCCAGAGAGGACTTTCCGGACACTCACTGCCCACCGTCCTGGGGCTGGGTGTGATTCACACCACCCTGGGGGACGGAGGAGAGCTGCCCACCCCCACCCCCACCCTCATCCCGCACCCCCCAGGCCTTCTGAGACTGTAACTCTTAACCCCAGCAGTCGGCCTCATCTTCCTACTGCACGGAGAGACTGGTGGGTCTGGACCACTGACCACTCAGTTAGCAGTCACACTCCTCACCAGCGCACCACCAGGGTTCTCTGTTTTTCTAGAAGACCCTTTATCGCTCACGTTCTGCTTCAGCACACGGGGGTTCTCATCAGACCAAAACCCCAAACCCACTGCCCCTCAGCCGCTTCCAGCTCACAGCCACCGTTTCATTCTGGGCAGAGCTGAGCAACAGGGGTTCCCAGGCCGTCCATGTGCACGTTTTGAACTGCTGATCCTGAGGCTAGCAGCTAAGCACTTTAACATGGCACCATCACTAATCCCCCCAAACTGAACCCACTGCCGTCCAGACAAGCCCAGCTCCTGCAGGCCTCCACTGGGTTTCCAAGGCCCTGAATCTTCACAGAAGCCTTCCCCTCCTGCAGAGCCGCTGGTGAATTAGAACTGCTGACCTTTTGCTTTGTAGCTCAATGCACTACGTCACTTGGGGTCCTTTCCATCATAAATTCCGCAAACTGCACCTCTGTTGAGTCAGAACCAGCCCATGGCCGACCGTCCAGCAGGTTTTCCGAGGCTGCCCACCACCCAGGAGCGGACTGCCCATCTTTCTTCCAAGGGGCCGCTGGCAGATTCGAACTAGAGAGCAGCTGCCTCTGGGTCAGCAGTACAGTCCCTACAGGTGACAGCATTTAATAACCATCCTCTCTGTCTGGTGGTCTAGCGGCAAGAAGCTGTCCTGCAATCCTGAAGGTACACGGTTCAAATCCACCAGCTGCCCTGCAGAAGGATGGGCAATCTCCTCCCATACCACTAACTGCCTCTGAAAACGCGCTGGAGGGTCAGCTATGGGTTGGTTCCAAATCAACAGTGCACAAACACAGCAACAACAACAACAACAACAACTATCTTGCGAAGGAGTGTAGGTGGCGAAGTTCGCAGGTGAGGTGTCTGCAACAAGGTCCGCAAGTCTCATCCCTGTTGAAGGGAGCTGACATGCATGAGGCCGGTGAAGAAGCTGGTCATCCAAAGCTCTGCAAAGGGAAATGCAGTCGCATGACAACACTGAGGCCTAACACTTGCCAGGATGCCATGGATGCCGCAAAAGTTAGGCATCTGAATATTAGCCAAAGGGTTGGAAGTTTAAATCCACCCAGGGGCACCTTGGAAAAAGAAGTCCGAAAATCTACTTCTGGAAAAGCAGCTGATGAGAACACGGTAGAATACAGTTCCACCTAGGCACACGCGGTCCTCCCGAATGAGAGGTGACTTGATGGTAACCGACAAGAAGACCATACAAGTAGACTGTCAGGACTTTCTTTTGAGTTACTCTAGGGGTGACACAAGCCACCACCCTTCCTGTTAGCAGCCATGCCTATTGACCATTTATAGCAAATAAATACAAAATTCACTACTGTCAAATAGACCGCAGCTCATGGAAATTCTCCACCAGGTTTGTGAGGCTGAGAAAGAAAGAAAGAGAGAGCCAGAGTGGAGAGGAAAAGAGAGGAGAAGAGAGGAGAGGGGAGGGGAGGAGAGGGGAGAGAGGGAGAGGGTAGAAAGGAGAAGGGAGAGGTGAGAGGTGAGAGGAGAGGGGAGAGAGGAGAGAGGAGGAGAAGAGAGAGGAGTGAAGAGATTGTATACGTATATGTATGTTGTTGTTGTTATGTGTCGTCGAGTTGCTTGCAACTCATAGCGACCCTGTATATAACAGTCCTAAACTCTGCTCTGTCCTGTGTCAATCGCACACTGTCTCTGACACTCCCATCCCAATTATCCCAGTCACTGAATCAATTCACCTCATAGAGGGTCTTCCCCTCTTGCACCACCCTTCCAAGCATGATGTCCCTCTCCAAGGACTGGTCCCTCCTTACAACACGTCCAAAGTATGTTAGACGAAGCCCTAGAATCCTTGCCTCCAAGGAGCCTCCTGCTTTAACCCTTTCCAGGATGAATCTGTTTATTTTCCTAGCAGTCCATGATATACATATGTATATATATGTGTATGTATATAGATACATACATACATAGAGAAAGAGCGTGTGCACTGATGGCCTAGTGGCAAGAAGCTACTCTGCATTCCTAAAGGCGCACAGTTCGAATCGACCAGCTGCTCTGCTGGAGAAGATTGGGCCATCTCCTCCCATGCAATTAATTTCCCCTGAAAACCCACCAGAGGGTCAGCTATGGGTTGATTCCAAGTCATACACAGCAACTGACAGACAACAACAACAACAACAACTTATCTGTCTCTAGATACACGTATCTGGTCGGGAGCGCTGTTGGTCTAGTGGGAGATGAGTTTTGCTGCACTTTGAATCCATCAGCTGCTCCACGGGAGAAGGATGAGCAGTCTCCCCCGGGCGATTTGATTTACTGCCTCTGGAAACCCCTGGAGGGTCAGCTATGGATCGACTCCAACTCGATGGCAAACAACAACAACTATCTCTCTAAGGAGCATGGGCGGCGAAGACCACAGGTGAGGTGTCTGCCACAAGGTCTGGCTGGACAGCAGTAAGTTTGAGGGTTTGTTTTTTAAACTGTACATATACATATATAGCTTGCCTCCGGATACTATGAACTTAGAGAAGCAATGAAAGTTATACAAATGTTCAGGTCTTTCATTCACAGGGTCGCTACGAGTCACCTACGACTCAAGGGCACTTAACAACAACAACATACACTTATGTATTTATGCATATTGTATATATGGGTTTTATTATGATTTGAGTATGTTTACAGAGAAAATTGGTTTTACATTTAACTGTTGTTGAGCTGCAACCTGGAGTCAGAATCAAATCCGAGGTGAGGGTTTTAAGACGATGTAGATCACATAGGGGAGACATGCAGAGTAGGTGATGGATTTGAACTGCATGCCTTAAGGGTGGCAGCACAGTTTCTTACCACTAGGCCACCAGAGCTCCCTTCCCTTCAACCAGCCATAGACATTTTCTTTATGTTATTGATTCGAATCCCCACAGTCTAGCAACACTCTTCCCATTCCCTCCCTGTGTGTCTCATTTCCACTCAGCCTTCTGTCCTATTCCTTCTAAACTTTCTTCGTGGGTGGATGCTACCCTTTTGCTATGTTGTTGTTGTTGCTAAATGCCAACAAGCCGTAGGCAACTCATAGCGACCCTATGAACGAAAACCTGAACACTTGTATAACCTTTTTTTGTTTCTCCAAGTTCATAGGGTTTCCGGAGGCAAGCTATTCAAGAAGTGGATGCCACTCCTGCTTCAAAGCCTCTTTTAATCAGGGAGCTCCACCAAACACTGTCCACCATGAGTAACCAATATCACATTTGGCACATCAGGGTCACAGCGTTCAGCTTCACAGCAACCCCTCTGTACAGCAAATTGACAGACCAGGGCTATACCACCTATAAGAATGTTTGACCAGAAACAATTGAAAGCAGGCCCGAGGGATGCAGATTAAAATCACCCACCTTTGGCTTGGTAGCGTCACTTTCGGTCCACCAGGCCAACTGAGCTCTCTCTATTTGAGTCATAGACGACTCATAGCGACCTTATGAACGAAAGACCTGAGAGCTTGTATAACTTTCTTCATTTCTCCAAGTTCATAGGGTTTCCAGAGGCAAATGAACACCTCTCTGGTGTTACTGCTCACTTTATAGGTTTATCTGAAAGTCTGGCAGTAAGTTGAGCTCAAGCATGAGTTTTGTTCCAGGTTCAAAGAGTCACTAAAGGTCCTGGTCTTGGGGGCCCCATCAGCCTCTATCAGAACAGCGTGAGGCTGTACATCTTAATGAGAATGAAGCACCTCGTCTTTTTCCCTAAGAGCAGCTGGTGGATTTGAACCCTTGATCTTTTGGTTAGCACCCAAACACATAATTCACTTTGACACCAGGGCCCAGGGAGGTTATTAAATGACAGGTTTAGCTTGGTAGTTTTGTAGGCTGTAGCCCAACTATTTTCTCCCTTTTCACAACATTAGAAGTTGGGAGTGTCTGCCCCCGAAGCCTCCATGTGTTGCTCCACCACAGCAGCCAGTTTCCCGCCTGGGGGGCTTTGGATGAGGCCCCTGAACCAGCGGCAATGCTACCAATGCCATTTAGGCACAGAGTCAGCGGTGTGTCTGTTAAGAAGTGCTCTCGGGGACCTCTGGCCACATCACGGAAACTCCTGCTCACTTAGCGAGTGAAGACCTCAGCCAGGCCGGGTGACCTGCTACAGTGGAAACTTTTCTCATCTCCCTCCCCCTGTCTGCCTGCAGGGGACAGTGCAGGGAACTGTGGCTCTGTGGCTGTCATCATCCTGGACGTGACTGTGGGATGGAAATCAGAAAGTGAATGGGTGACGATCTCCAGAAGAAGTCTGGATGGTCAGGAGAAGAGACGGGAGTGTGTGTGTGTGTGTGTGTGTCTGTGTGTGTCTGTGTATGCGTGTGTGCACACTATGATGAGCTTCCAGGTGGCAAGGACGATGGCCTGAGCAGAGAAGTGGAGACAGGG